AAGAAACAATGAGTTTTTGACTTATCATAATCCCAAGCACTACAAATCATCCACTCGGTTAAAGCTTTCTACCAAAAGCCATTCTTCATTCTCACATGTTACCCACTTCTTTGATGTTTCCCTAAGATAATTATACTTGACCTTTGAACAATAGGGGGATTAGTGGAGCCAAACTCCTACCAACACCAGTCAAAAATCCTGTATAACTCTGGCTCCTCCCAAACTTAATCTACTGTTGACTGGAAGCCTTTCCAATAACATAAAAAGTCAATTAACACATACTTTGTAGATGTATTACAGACTGTATTTTTACAGTAAGAGAAAAGAAAATGCTATTAAACAAATCATAAGGAAAAGCAAATACAGTTAAGTTTAAGTAGGAGCCGCTTCTCAAACACATGTAGTGCAGCGATCAACTGTATAATTAACATAGTAAGATAATGCACCCCACAGTCTGCCAAGTGTTTTGTAAAGGTACTGTTTCATCCTTAGGGCCTGTGAAGAAAGTAATTCCCCTATTTCACAGGTGACAAGAAAAGAATGGAGAATTAATTTTGTCCAGTTGTAAAGTTAGTGGCGAATTAGCCACTAACTTAGGAGTCCTCCAAGTCCAAATGCCATATTCTTCACATTCTATTATGTTCTTTTCTGAAAAGACAAAGTCTACAGATCTGTCCCAAGTCGCATCTTCAAGGAGTAAGCCATCTTCAGATCCTCTCTCTGGTTGCAGGTAGGTTTTCCATTCCCCACACCCAGAATCATCTTAGGTCTTCTCCTTATCCTCCAGTCGTTACTTCCCCCCACTACTCAACTTCCACTCTTCACAGACACTACTGTATCGTCCATCATTCCTGCAACCTCTCCTGCAAAATATTCCAAGTGCATACTGGGGGGGGGGGGAGCTTCTCAACTCCCTTTTCCCCAAACCCTGGGAAGGATATGTAGGTTGTGGCCCCACAAACAAATGCAATGCTGCTCAATCCTTAACGAGCTACTAAATCACGGTAAACGTCCCAAAGAAACGGATGTAACTAGCAGGTCCTCCATCGCCACACTTGGTCCAGAGTCCCAGCCCACTCCAAATTCCTAAAAACCGAACATCAAGGGTCACAAAGATTCTGCCCAGGCCCGCGGTCACCGACAGCATGTCTTCCCGAATCTCGCCATCCGAACCGGCTCCTCTCCTCTCCCGACCTTTTCGCCCAGCACCTCCCCTCCGCGGTCGTCTTTCCCTCACTCCGGGGCCGGTGCCCACCTTAGCAGCTCTGCCCCCTTGCTCCCCACCCCAGAGCTAAGCAGCAGCCCCACAGCAGCATCGGTGGCTCCTCTCCCAACTTGGAAGTTCTGCCTCTTATCACCTGTTCTCGCCGGAGAGTCCACTCAGCCCAGCGGCCCACCTCGGCCGCGGCCCGCCTCTCTGCACCCTTTCGATTGCCCCTGCCCAGCAGCCACCCCCCAAGTCAGATCCACGGGGCCAGTCGGATTCAACTTCCCATCTGCGGGATTCGCACCCCCGGGGTCACGCTCCCCTTTCTCCAACACCTGCTCCGCCCATGGCCAGATGACAT